GGACATCACTCCTCCACCCAGTCCTCCGCCGGGAACAATATAGTAGTATAATTTTATTCCCGTGGATTAATTCCTCCGCTAGCCAGGTCACGTAAAATGCACTTCCAAGTACTCCGCGTCCTCCGCAAGATGGTGTAGCCAAGTGCGACGAAACTTTAATCCTGGTGATGCTCACGGAAAGGCAGTTGCCTCTAAAAATTCTGTCTCTGCAGACCCGTCCTGTGCCGTATATGTAGAAACACACAAATAAATGAAGAAATATATCTATATATCTATCTCGACAGACTGCTCTTGTCTAGTAGAAGCTTCGTGTCTTGTTGAAGCTTGTCGGAAGCTGTCTAGAGCTGTCCAGCTGTGCATCTGCGGCTGCTGCAACTCGAGTCCGGGGCTTCGCAATGGCCGGCCTCAGTCTAGCTCAGCGAGCCAAACGAGCGCTGGTGACGCTGCTGCTGGCGTTGGCGCGAGCCTATGGCCTCGAGGTGGCTGTAAGCCGGGAGTCTGCTGACGCGGACATCCAGAAGGCCTTTCGCAAGGTCGCTCGGCGCGTGCACCCCGACAAGGGAGGCAGTGCTGAGGACGCGCAGCGTCTCAACGCTGCACGTGACGCGTGGTCTGCAGCACAACAAGGTCCGGGCCGCGGTCGACCGCGTCCGCCAGCAGCCCCGGCAGCAGTTGGCGAAAATGGCGCTGGGCTGCGTGTGTGCTGCGAGGCCGTGCTGCTGACGTACCAGAGCTGGTCGCCGGATGCGGCTCTGCCTGCGTGGGAACGCTTCTGCGTGTTTGTCCATGCGAACCTGAACCTGTGGAGTGTGAAGCATTGGACCGCCACCATGGAGTCGAATGCCTGCGGCTCACACCATCTGCACCTCATGCTGCAGTTCCACAAGACCCAGGACTGTCTGACTTCCCGCTTCATCTTCGAAAGCACACGGCCCAACGCCAGCTCCCATGACTACCTGGGTGAGGGAGTGTGCAAGAAGAGGCTACAGCAGAGCATTGACAGAGGTATGTTCTACGTCTGGGCCAACAAAGTCGGCACAGTTAAGGTCGCAGCAAACTACGAGCCTTGCTGGACCGAAGCGACACGCACCTACCAGGTTTTGGGAAAGTGGCCCGAGGCTCTCTGGAAGCAGCGGAAGGTGACTTCGGAGCAGTACGAGAAGTACTTGTACCTCACCCGTGACGGGGTTCTGGCGCGGAAGCGGAACCTGGACGCGGTGAAAGAGCAGGAGGCTTCTCTGACTGAGGCTGCGCTCATCGAGGCCACGACACGCCGGGTGCGGGCCAATGCTGCTCTGTACCGGCCCTTCCCTCCTGTGGCTGCTGCGCAAGCCTGGCTTGCCCTCTTCAAGCAGGACCGTCTACGCTACCCTCTACTGGTGGTCCGGGGTGCTTCCCACACTGGCAAGACCGAGTGGGTGAAGTCCCTCTTCAAGAACGCTCTAGAACTGAAGGTCGGGTCCTTAGAGGTGTTTCCGGAGGGTATGCGAGGCTTTGAGCGAGACACACACGACGGCATCATCCTCGACGATGTCCGTGACATGGCATTCCTGGCAGACCATCAGGACAAACTGCAGGGGAAGTATGACAGTCGTGTGGAGTTCGCCACAACGCCAGGCGGCACATGTGCCTTCAGAAAGTACCTCTTTGCCGTGCCCATTGCTGTGACTGTGAACTACAGCACACGAAACCTCGACTACCTCGACAGCCATGACTGGCTCCGGCATGAGGGCAATCGGGTGCTCGTCAACTTCCCTGAGGTGCTTTCTGACGGCTGAGCTCGGTCTGACCTACTGTCTCACTTCCAGAACATGCAGGACTGAAGCCAATGCAAAACTGCGTGCTCTCTCTGTGTGGTGAGGCGGTTCGCCTGCGAAAGACAGTCGTTACGGAGTTAGGAAGGTCTTCTGTCAAGCAGTTGCCTGTGCTAGCTGGTAGACAGGCAGTCACACTCCCTGTGTCACGTATCATTTGCACGTGTCCATGCCTGTTGCTGAAGGTTGTCTAGCAGAGTACGATCTACAGCTGTGCGCCTGTGGAAACAAGAGAGTCCTGCGTTGCCTGTGCTCCTGTACGCGTTGCGAGGGGATACACACCCAGGTCACAGCTCTTCTGTTTAACTGGTCTCCCTCGAACGCATCGTCTGGGGGCTCGGAACGAGGCGCCGTCCAGCTCGCAGCCGTTAGCGATCATGCCCCTTGTTAGCGAGGTCCGGCATCCGCAGTCGTTGGATTTTGCGAACGAACGCAAGACCCTACTCCTGCGTGATGTCCATGGCTTGTCTTGGGCGGCCATCCAGCAGCAGGTCGTGAACCTCCGCGGAGAGACCCCAAGTGTGCGCCTGCTGCAGCGTCTACACCAAGACGTGAACCGAGACTTGGGGCGTCGGGTGTACAAGTACAGCAACTGCGGCCGCAAGACAACCAAGGCCACTGCTGCTGTTCAGAAGTACCTCCTCGGCCGTTTGTTGGTGTTGCGACGGCGCACCACGTGCACAGCCACAACGCTTCGGCGGGAGCTCCTGGCCAACAAGGGTGTGGACTTGGAGGAGTCCACGATCCGCAAGATTCTCCGGGATCATGGCTACAAGTGGCTTCCCCGCGCGCAGAAGCGGAAGTACAGTGCAGCAAGGAAGAAGGAGCGACTGAAGTTTGCCAAAGCTGTGCTGCGCCTGACAAAGGCAAAGCTGCGTGAGAAGCTCTGCATGGCAATGGATGGTGTCATTCTTTCCCTGCCACCACGTGATGCAGCCGACCGGGCGAACTACTGTGCCCACGGAGACACGCACATGTGGAGACTTCCTGGGGAGGCCGCTTCCGAGGAGCTGGCAGGTCAGGATCCCTATCCGTACCAAATACCCGCCGACCGGGTCGTGCCATTGTGGGGAGGGCTGTCGGAAGGTGGCTTCGCAGTTGTCACTTTTCACCACGCACGCAAGCTCACCTCTGCAGAGTGGTGTCGCGAGGTGAGACGTGGCAAGTTGGCGAAGGCCATACAGTCCCTTTCACCCGTACGGCGTGCTGGGCCGTGGACAGTCCTTTGCGACAACGAAGCTTTCTTGCACACGGCAGCAAGCAAGCGGGCCATGACTGCAGCCGGCGTCCGCGCGTGGCGAGTGCCTGCGTCTTCCCCGGACCTCAACCCGGTCGAGAAGATGTGGGCCTGGCTACGGCGCAGAATTCGCACCAAGGATTGCGAGGACCTCCGAAGGAGGCGCCCTCCAATCGGCAAGATGGCCTTCAAGGCCCGCGTGCGTAGCATAGTCGCCTCGAAACGGGCTCAGCGCGTGGCTGCTCGCATCGCTGCTGGTTTCAGGACCACCTGCAAGGAAGTGGTGGCTAAGCACGGGGGCATGGCCAGAGGCTAGATCCAAGACACAGCGTGCGTTTCACAAACTGCAATTTGCCCGACTACCGGTCCCAAAATTCACGCTGCGGTAGGACGAAAGTTCGTCGCACTCTCTATGTCGCTCTTGGACAGGACATAAACCCCTTCTCCCCGTAGACTCCTCCACCCAGTCCTCCGCCGGGAACAATATAGTAGTATAATTTTATTCCCGTCGA